CAGGCTGTGCCCGTCGGTAACGCAGGTAGGGTGCGGGGGCCCTGCTCTGCACTGCTCCAGGGCGGAGAATTTGGGACCCCGCTGGGCCCTTCCTGCTCAAGGGCTGCATTTATTTTTAAGCCTAGGAAAGCACGTTGAAGATGGAGCCGCACCAGGGCAAACTCCTGGCAGGGAGAGCGTAGCAGGGGCTGTGCTGGCAAAACCACCTCCGTTGGCTGGCTGGGGGAGGGTGAAGTGGGATGAGCCGAGCAGGACAAGCAAAGCGTTGGCTTCCCTGAAGCCGATAGTGCTAAACTGTCCCCTCAAGTGGGTCTGTCACTGCCCTTCTGTGGCACGTTCCAGCAGTCAGCTTCCTGGGAGCGTTTCATGGGGCGCCCGATGTCACTCGGGGAGCGATGGGTGCTCAGAGCAGTTCTGGGTCCTCTCTGGGCCGGGGCAGACCCAGGCTCACCTCGCTTGTGCTGGAAGGTACCGGCGTGCCCGGGCAGGCGAGCGGGGAGGGCAGAGGTTTTAACCTTTTCTTTATTGTTTTAAGGGCTGTGCAGAGAAGTGCTACTTCGGCCCACGGTGCCGCTTCCTTCATGACGTCGGCGAGTACATGGCCGTGAAGCCGGCCGACCTGGGACCCAGCTGCGTGCTCTTCAAAACCTTTGGCAAGTGCATTTACGGCGTCACCTGTCGCTTTGCCCAGGCCCACCTTGGGGACGGCTACCGGAATGTCGTCAACACGGACCTGGCCAAGCAGTGGGAAGGGAAGTCGCTGGTGAGGAACAACCTCTCCAAAGACCTCCAGCACCAGCTGCGCAAGAGGAAGTTTATCTTCAAGAAGGCTGACGAGTACCTCCGTGGTCTGGCCAAGTCCCACCGCAATGGCGGGAAGGGAGGCAAAGCCATGGGGCACTCTACGGAGGAGCAAGAGGTGTCTAACTGCATGGCACCCCAGGAGGGTCTGGGAGACAGCCCCGAATGTCCTGTGCTACCGGAGCAGGGAGAAGATCCCAAACCAGAGGCCTTGCAGAGTCCCGGCCCCACAGGTGGCGAGGAGGCTTCCTCCATCAAAACAGTGGGCCCGGTGACAGATGAAGATATTATAAAGCTGCGATCATGTGAGAAGAGGAAGGTGAGAGTTTGGTCGAGGGCTGCTGTCTCTCGTGTACCTGTCAAGGGGTTAAGATTGTGCCTGGGAAGACAGGAGAGACCTCTTAGCTGGGTGAGGAGCAGGCAGAGGACAGAGCTGCCTGGGGACCACATTGCTGTTGAGAGGGGAAGGATGGAGGAAGGTGAGCTCTGGGGCTGTGGTGGTGTCCTTGGAGGGGTGAGAACCAAGAGAAGCTGCAGCCCCTTGCACGTGAAGGAGAGCAGGGGCTGAGTTGTCAGTCAGGGTGGATACGATCCGCAAGGAGAGCCGAGGCTGGGGCTGGTTGGTTTGTGTGTACTGCACGGTGCTCTCCTGGGGTGAGACCGTTCCCTTCTTCCTCTCCTCCTCGTCACCTCCGTCCTTGCACCCGTTCGCCAGTCTTGCATCCCTCTGTATCTGTAACTGCTTTGAGTTTTCTCCAAGCCAAGCAGTGAAAACAAATTGAGCAGATCAAGTTTCTGGTTCTTTTATTCAAATGATATGTTCTCTTGGAATGGTTGAGGTTCTCGAACAAAACCAGTGATTTCCTGGGTTTCCCACTGAGTTTTACCCAAGGCAAATGATAAAATTGGTAACTGGAATATCTTCCTGTTTAACCACTGCTGCTCTGCTAACATGCTCCTCCATCCTTGTTGTTTTCCAGTTGGAAATCCAAGGCAAGCTCTACTTGGCTCCACTGACCACGGTAGGTAGATAATTCTCTCCTTTTGTCAAAATTTCCCATTGCCACATTTGGAACAGAGCAAATCTCCTGACAAACTGTCTCTCTGCTGTCTCTCTCAGTGCGGTAACCTCCCTTTCCGAAGGATATGCAAGCGCTTCGGGGCAGACGTCACCTGTGGAGAGATGGCTGTGTGCACAAACCTGCTTCAGGGCCAGTCCTCCGAGTGGGCTCTCCTCAAACGGCATCATACCGAAGATATTTTTGGGGTGCAGGTGAGTGCTATCTTGATAACCAAACAAATGATAACTCAGTTTTGAGGAGAAAAGCTGCTTCTTAAACTCATGCAACCTGTCCCCCTTTGGTAGCTGGAGGGAGCGTTTCCGGACACGATGACCAAATGTGCAGAGCTCCTGAACCAGACAATTGAAGTGGACTTTGTAGACATCAATGTTGGGTGTCCCATTGACCTGGTCTACAAGAAGGTAAGAAGACGTTCTGCAGCATGTTTTGCTTCCTTCAATAGATGCTTGTCTTTTGCCTCATTCGCCGCTACCTGATCTGCTCCTGCCAGTCTGATCCAGAGCTCCCAGCTCATTTATGGGCACTAGACCTCAGCAAGAAGGCAAATAAACTGTTCAAAGAGCAGGGAATGGTTAGCAGGGAATGGTTAGCTGTCTTTGCCTGGCAGAAGTTGGGAGGGAAAAGGGCTGCGTTTTTTTTGTTGTTGTTGTTGAAGACTCCCCTTTCTCCAAGTCTTGAGATACTCCAAGTCTTACCTGCGTTCCCTGCTGTTGAGCAGCTCCAAGGAGGCAGAAAGCCTTGACTGTGCAACATTTTGTTCCCCAGGGAGGAGGCTGTGCTCTGATGACTCGGTCCAACAAGTTTGAACAGATTGTCCGGGGGATGAACTCGGTGAGTCGGAGCACTGCCAGCAGCGGGAGATGAGCTGACGGAGCCGACTCCTGCCTCAGCCGGGCCTCACTCTCCCATTTCTGCAGGTGCTGGACGTCCCACTGACTGTGAAGATACGGACGGGGGTGCAAGAAAAGATTAACGTGGCTCATAAAATAATCCCCAAGATCCGGGAGTGGGGAGCATCCATGGTCACGGTACAGGGATGCTTGCTGTGGCGTGAGATTGTTGGCTGGTGTCTGGGGAACTCTGCTTGCACGTCAGCTTCCTCCAGCGCTCCTGTTCTGCCCTACCTTCTCTGTGGCATTCGGTGAGGTCTCACTGTGACTTTCTTCCCCAGCTTCACGGCCGATCCAGGGAACAGCGGTACACAAGGGGTGCTGACTGGGACTACATAGCAGAATGTGCTAAAATAGCAAGCCCCATGCCTCTTTTTGGTAGGTGTTTCTGTTTTGCCATGTGGACTGAAAGTGCTGCATGTTTGATTTGAAATAGCTTTAAAAAAGAAAAAAAACCATGCTCCCAAGGGCATTTAGCCTGGGGGAAAGGTTGGGGTATCCCTACTGCTGCGGAGTGAGCTACCAGCAGCTCTTGTGCAGCCGAGATCTGCCTGTGTGCTTGGGGCCAGGCGTGACGAGCACTGAGCGGAGTAGGAGGCAAAGGGACAGGCAGGACACAAACCACCTCTTTTTTAGCAGGTGCTTTCTCCCTTGGGCACTGTGGCACAGACAGTCCCAGCTAAGCCTTCAGAGTAGGAGTTGGGAGTGGAGAAGAAGAGAGAAGGCGGCTCTCCTTTTCCTTGTCAGGGGAACATTAATCAGAAATAGCCCTGGGAGTCTCTAAACAGGAGCCCCAGAGCTTCTTTGGACAATCTGGCTCTTGGATCCTGTGTCCATTTTGAATTTTATTCCATGCCTGGATTAACTCATTTTGACTTGCCCTCATGTATCACTTTGACCTCTGGCTTCTCCCTTCCTTCTGGACAGGAAACGGTGATATTTTGTCTTATGAAGATGCTAATCGAGCCATGCAGATGGGCGTTTCAGGAATTATGATTGCAAGGCAAGTACCTGTGTTTCCTCTTTGCTTCTGAGCTCTATTGGTGCAAGAGTAAAAAAGGATTAAAAAAAAAAAAACAAACCAACCCTAAACAAACCCAAAACACGAGAAGTTTCCTCCTGGTGAAACTATTCTTTGAAAGTTGGTAAAATCAGTTTGCATTTGTGGGAACTTACATCA